TCATCAATGCAATTCCTCCTAAATAAATGCAAAAAAGTCCCGTTAGCAGAGGAGCAGGGTGCATCCTGCTGGCCTTGCGGCAGTAGTACGCCTGTACATGCCAAGGAGCTTTCACACAGGCGTCTTCACACGGCAGATCTGCAGCCGGTAACTGAGCCCTGCCTACGCTCAGGGTCCTCACGCACCAGTTCTTCCCATTTCAAGAGCGAGGATTAACACTTCCAAAGCCGGTTATAGACATTATTCTGCGTGCGTGTTCAAACAGCAGGTCAAGGTCTGATGACACGTCAATCAAAGCCACTTGTAGCTCTCTCTGCTCAAGCGTCGCAAAGCAGCCGCCTTTGCTGGGAGAGTCTGTGGATAGTCTGGGCAGAAACTCACGTTACCACGCTCCAGCCCACGGCTGTAATCAGCAGAAAGAGAACAGCAAAGTTGAATTGTGCCATCCCCGATCTCCCAGTTGGCACGGGCCTGGTGGAGACGAGCAGATGTCGCTCGTGGGAGAGCGATGTAGCAGCCTCCCGCCTGTGTCACCCAGAGATCCACGAGGCTCCGTGCCAGATGTCTTTCACCCACGAAGCGTGACGTTTCACAGGTAGGGTGAAACAGAGCAGCGCTTTAAAGAAATGGAAACGCTTTGCAGAAAGCACTGGGTACAGCAAAACTTTATCAGCCTCTGGGCTCTGCAAACAAAGAAAACTGATGAAAATCTGCCTGGTTTTCCACGGGGCTAATGGAACTGTAATCCTCCCAGGCCACCGCTCGGAAGTAGACAGACCAGGTGGATTGCTCAAAAGATCTCAGAAGCAAGCAAGAAAGAGCGCTTAAAAAATAACTCTGAAATACCACATTCTTATGCCACCCGAAAATGTAACCTTTGGTTTTCTTTTTCTTGTCCCAGGCAATGTTATGACCTTGAAGTTTTTGACAGATGCCTCGGTGACTGCTGGTGGTTTTCAAATTCGATATATGACTATGGACACGCCTTCAAAGTCAAGTGATGGAAAGAATGCAACATCCCAAGGAAAACCAAACTTCTTATCTGGAAAATTTGGTATTATGTGAGCAGAGTAATGAGATACACTCATTAAGAAACATGTTTTAGAACCCACGTCAGATACCTGTTTCTTCAGATAAGACATTTCATATCTTTCTGATTTTTTATTTTCTGCTTTTATGTAAGTTTTGGTCATAAAGTATACTAGGAAATAAATTATAAAATATACTTACATTAATAATAGAAGACTATTTTTAGATTACAAGTACTGTAAAAATCTGAAGAATTCATTGTTACCAGAGATTTTAAAATTATTTTTCTATATAAAGTGCTCCTTCTCCTCATTTCTTGCACCATTTGAACAAAATTTTTGTGTGACCATTTCAATTATTTTTAAATTTAATATGCTGTTCTACCCTTATTTTCCTTTAGAGTAAGCTTATTCGTAAGATACATAAATTTTTCTTGTGGATGGCCTAGCAGCCACCCATGTAACTGTCTGAAGTCAGAAGACTGGGAAGCAGCGTGAACAGCACAGAATCAATTATATTATCGTCATAGTCTTGTCGTGAGATGAATCAGAAGCTCCTCGATGAATTCTGTCAGCGTTCCCTCTTTCAGAGAAGATGTGTTCAAGTCCTTTTATTTCTCTGATTTCACTTAGTAAAGAATGAAATTAAAGACTTTGTAATGATAATAAAACTGGTGAGATGAAGCATCAGAAGAAATTGCTGACCAAGTGCCAGCAAATCCATTCAGAAGATACTGTCAAGATGCTGTATGTTGTTTACACGGGTTTGAAGAAGACTGTACTATTTTGAATTAATGAACATAAATCATTCTCCGTATGTTTTTAACTTCAGTTTAAATTCCTCAGTCTGAAACAGCATTAAAGCTACCTCTGTTTAATTGTGTCCGGAGTTTCCAATGAACTGTTTTTATTTCTTGACAACTTTTCAGACTTTGAAACATTTTTCTTGATTTAAGGCAGTAAATAAGTTATAGAAATTTCTTTCTTTTGCTCTGAATGTTTTCTTGACAGATCTGCTGAAGTCTAATGCCCACTGAGAACCTTCCTGTGAGTTATTTTTTTGTTTCGAGTATTGTGAATTTCTTAGAAAGAGTTTTGCACATGAGGATCTTAAGCTAATCAGACCCATCTTTGCTTTACTCATTCTAATTCTCAGTTCTTTAAATTTGTTTCATCTTTGAGCTTTTATTGTTGTCATTTTGCTGGGAACATGATCCTGCTTCGTGGCTGTGCTGGAGAACAGTGTTGCAGCTCGTGCGGCAGCTTCTCTCCCTGTCATTTCCGACACTATTCATGCTCCATATGAGCACCAGGAAACAAAGTTCGGATCACTAGGTTCAACGAGATCAAGCTGCACCTAAAATCTGCCGGTGCTTTTTAACCCTACCTGAATAAACCTGTCTGCATCCTCCTGGTATAAAATGCCATTCCCCTTCTCCAAGTGTTTGTTAACACAGAAACCGCATGAAGAGAACTGTTAACATTTTGTTTATGACCTAAGGTGTTTTTTGGTTGGTTTGGGGTTTTTTTTTTAAATGTTTCTTTAACTGAGAAGCAACAGGTCTTGAACCGATGTGGATCAGAACTCAGGGGTGTACAGGAAATATCCGCCTGTCTGGAAACCCCCACGGAGCCAGAGGGGTGATGCCATTTGGGGAAGAGATTCCTTCCAGAACAGGCACTCCTGCTAAGCATCTGCAGGGTTATGACGATGATGAGGGGACTGGAGCATCTCTCCTACGAGGAGAGGCTGAGGGAGCTGGGCTTGTTCAGCCTGGAGGAGAGAAGGCTGAGAGTGGACCTTATATCTTTAGGGTAGGTGTCAGGAGGATGGGGCCAGACTCTTTCCAGTGGTGCCCAGCGACAGGACAAGGAGCAACGGGCACAAACTGAAGCAGAGGAAGCTCCAGCTGAACAGGAGGAAGAACTTCTTCACTCTGAGGGTGTTGCGTTATAAGGGATGGAGTAATTTGGCAGAAAATAAACCCCCTTGCGTTCTAACTCTCCACACCAGAATGGGAGGCTAGGTGCAGCCAGGTTTAAATTCTGAGTGATGTCCAATTTACCACTACCAGTCCAGTCGCGTTTAATACGTATATTAAACAACCACGATTCCGGATACCCTAATAGCGGTCTGCACCTTCGGTCCAGTCGTGCTCACAAACTGGCACGGCCGCGCTTAGGGTTCGGTCGTGTTCAGTGCGAAACTGTGACAACTTGCTACTGAAACAGTGCAGTTCTATTTGTGCAACAGGTATATAGGTTTTTTGAATTGCCGGTGATAGTGACTGTCTGCAAGAAAGCACGTGCATATATGATGTTATTAAGTATAAAACGCATGAAAAGGTTATAAATAATACAGCCTGGCTATAAACGTTAGGGAGTAACTCTCTAGAGAGATTTATAAGATTCCCAAGAAAAGCGCTTAGTCTAGGTCTCACCCAAGGTGTCCCAAGGGGGGAGAAGCAAGGCTCAGTCCTTCAGCCAGTCGCGGTAGTCAGAGACGGACTGAGATGGAGTTTCCCTTGACTTGTTCACAGTGATATCTTCTCCGAAAATCCCCCATTTCCCTGGCTATTTTTATGTCCTTTCTACAATTAAGGTGGAGTTAGAGTGACTGTAGTCATACACATCTTTTATCATGATTGGTGTAAAATTCTCTCGCTTCACG